TATATGGTTGGACGCAGTATATTTATATCCTGTATGGTTGTAATTAATTTGACATATCCTGTATTGTTGGATATGCGTGTATACAGTATATATATATCCTGTATGGTTTGGTAACCAAGATGTCCTATATGGTTGGACACATTATTTTTAGCTATCCTATATGGTTGGATATGCTTGTACAGAAATATATATCCTGTATGGTTTGGTAACCAACTTGTCCTATATGGTTGGACAATTAATTTTAGCTATCCTATATGGTTGGATATGTTTGTATACAGTGTATATATATTGAATAGTTTGGTTACCATATTGTCCTATATGGTTGGACGCAGTATATTTATATCCTGTATGGTTGTAATTAATTTGACATATCCTGTATGGTTGGATATGCGTGTATACAGTATATATATATCCTGTATGGTTTGGTAACCAAGATGTCCTATATGGTTGGACAATTATTTTTAGCTATCCTATATGGTTGGATATGCTTGTACTTCAATATATATCCTGTATGGTTTGGTTACCAATTTGTCCTATATGGTTGGACAATTATTTGCCATATCCTATATGGTTGGACATGCTTGTATATGGTAAATATATATACATATACATATCTGGTACAGTTTGGTAACCTGTTTGTCCTGTATAGTTGGACAGTTAATTTGAGATATCCTATATGGTTGAATATGCTCATATAAGGGTATTTATATGTTAATCGTGTGATTGGGTAACCAAGTTTTGTTTTAGATGGTTGGACAATTTATTTGGCATAACCTATATGGATGAATAGGTTTAGATACAGAATTTTTATATCCTTTATGCTTTGGTAACTGAGTTTATCCTGTATGGTTGGATAATTTATTTGACATATCCTGTATGTTTGGATATGCTTGTATAGAGAATGTATGTATATATAATTATATATCAAGGATTAATCCTGTATGGTTGGACAATTATTTGACATATCCTGTAGGGTTGGTTATGTTAATATTTATTTAATATTTATTGATCATGAATGGTTGGATAAAGAAGTTGTTCAGTATGGTTGAACACTTTATTTGACATATGTAGTATGATTATAAATATGCTTACAAATATCTTTATCGTGTATTGTAAGATAACCAGATTTGTCCTGTATGGTTTGACACTCTGCTTGACATGTCCTGCTTGGTTGGACATGCTTATGTTCTACATATCCTCAGGTGTATGTTTGCCTTATTTGGATAACCAGGTTTGTCTTGTGGTAGTTAGACAATTTGTTTGACATATCCTTTATGGTTGGATATGCTTATAACTATATCTTATAGGTTGGGATAGCCTAGTTTTGTCATGTATGTTTAGGCAATTCATTTGACATATCCTGTATGGTTTGATATACATAGCTAGCTTAGCCCTGTCAAGTTAGGCAGATATATTGCTTGTGTACGAGTACAATAATTTGCAGACCTATATATATATATATATATACACAATGATAATAACTATATTGAATGAATCAAGAGCTTGTAGCATATATTTTGGTTAAAGCTTCTAATCATTAACCAACATTGCATTTTCAATTGTAAATTTCATTACGGTGGACTTGTTTATGATTTAACACAAAGAAATTGGCACGGTTTATTAAAAAAAAAAAAATAAAATAAACAAACAAAAACCTGGGACTAAAACTGGTACCATTTAATATTTCTTCTTCAGGGATCAATTTTTATTTTAGCACTGATTCCATAAATGCTTTAACAAAAGACTTAGGAAGAGCAATATATTGACCTTGGAGCACCACCTTTTGTCAGTCTTGTGCCTACCACCAAAATAATGGGTACACATTGATTTTAACTCTAACATTTCAGTAGCACCCAGAAATACAGATCAAACAATCAATACTATATTTCAGTGGAAAACAGCAATCTATGCATTTGATTTCTGTCTATACTAGAAAATTCCCAAATGAAACACAGTTTTGTGTAAATCATGCAGAGACAAGTCATGATTTGGCATCATCTAGAAGTAAACCTTGACAAACTGTTGATAAACAAATTAGGATATATAGACAAGTTTAAGGGTATGTCTTCGGAAATGGTTAGTGTGTAATTTGTGCTTCAGGCATTTAAACACAGGGATATAGAGAGGAAACTACAGGTCTTTCCATCTCCCCCTTCTGATCAAGGTTTAGACTAAGGCTTTCAAAAAAAAAAGAGAGAAGCAAATCTCCATAGAAATTTGCTAGCCATATAATAGGGAAGGGCTATGCAAGCTTGAAAACTGCAAATTCCAATGCATTTGTTTAGAGTGTGGGAACAATTTGCAAAGCCCAGATAATTGACATTATTCCTTAAGTAATGTAGTTATGTTTTGTTTTGTTTTTTTTTTAACCCCTATTATTCCAAATGTCCTTAAATATTTATTCCTAAGCAATTATGTCATTATTAATGACATTCGGTTTCAGAATTAGAATTAAGCATGGATTTGATTTACAACATCAGGGTGCAAGATCTTTTATACCATCTGAGTATCTCAGCTTGGTGTGTATACCCAGTCACAAAGAGGATCATGAACTACTGGGCTTTCACTGGGAAAGTCTCGTATTATATGATAAGGTTTTCACTTGGGTTGTCCAGTTCTTTTGCTAACTTTTGAAGATCTTTCTTTGGTCTTATAATGGATTGGTAAAGTCAATGGACATTTTCTCTGAATTACTTGTGTTGGATAAAAAGACTTCATGGGCATCTACAAAGCTAGTATTTCTTAAATTGAATTTGACAAGTGGTAATGGAAAATCCAATATGTTGCTACCTGAGAAATTGGAGAAAAATAAAGCTACATTTGCAAAGAAATTTAAACAAACAGTTTGTATCTTAATACGGTGGTTATTTGAACATATACCATGTATAAAGGTTACATCAAAACACATGCATCTCCACAGCTGATTCTTGGGTAATGGTTATTGTTTGTTAAAAAAAATAATAATAAAAAAAAAAAGAATATAGAAAATTATATGGATCTTGCAAAAAAAAAAAAAAAAAAAGAAGGCAATATTACCCTCATGAATTATTCCCAATTGTTTTGGCTGTTGAATTATGGGACTTATTTAAAGAATTCATTTGTCATATTCCAATCTGATAGTACAGCTGTTTATTGCATATTGTAAACTTAACAAACACCAGAAAATTCATTTTTTTAAAGAAGATCATTGTTGGTTCTTTACAATATTTTGGGTAAAGAGTGCTTGTGGATATTTAAGATTACAAATCTATATTTTTCAACTCTCCAAACACAGCCCGTATTTCTTTTTAGATTCCGCTTTAGCTCTTATTGCAAAGTAAGTGTACGGGCATGCTCTAAATTGTTTTAAGGGTTTCATTCAGGGTGATCAATAGACCAAGTGCATTAAAGTGGTCTCCTTGGGACAGGTTTATATGTCTTATGTCTTACCTGTACCTATTCAGTTTAGGAGAATCAGCTAGCTCTATATCACTTGGCAGCATGGATATACTATTTTTAAATGCGAAACACCCCCGATTTCTTGAATCGTTTGTTAATCAGTAAAATGTTAAGTGGAGCAAAAAAGTTTGCTAGGTCAGTTGATGCGTGCAGCCTATTACTTTTAATATTCGAAATAAAAAAAAAATAAGTGACAATACCATAGATAGCCAATTCTTAGTAACGGACATGTTGCTACAGGGTTATGTTCCTTTTTGTAATTTATCTTTGCTGAGAGGAAGGGAAATCGCGGTTCATTCAGACTCAAACCCATATTTGCTGCTTTGAGGAAATATACCTTTTCAGGCACGACAACAAGGGAGTTTAAAGGAGTCTTACAATGAATCAACTTTCAATACAATTTAGGTAAAATAAAAGTCTATCTAGAAATAAAATCCCAACCCAATTGCAGTAGGTGAAATTAGCTGCAAAGGACCCCTTTTTGCTACAGCAACACCCTGGCACATTTTTTAGTGTTTTTAAGACTCACAAAATGAGATATGGGATGGTTGCAACTGGTGTCATTCCAGAGAACATTAAGGTTCCTATTTTCCCGCCTATTAGTACATATATGTTTTCATTTAGGGTGGTAGAAAGTCCGATTGTAAAGGATAAATGGTTGAGAAAGTATCCCTTATTCTGTATTATTTGAATGTATTAAATACCTAGATAGAGGATTCTGTCTGAGGCGGTATCCTCTATTTTTCTGCATCTTTTTTTAAAATTTAATTGTTAATACTACAACCTCATAAAAGCGTCAATTTCATGCTTTAAATATCATAATAATGCATGAGAAAGCTTAACATTGCATAGTTTATCTACCTTCACTTTATACTACACTTACAAACAGGTACACAAAGTATTCGGTGACTGTCTGAGGCGGCACTGAATACATTCGTTGTTGAGTATCATATCGAGAATTGTATTAATATTTCATATCATTTTGAATTATTTAAATGCTTTTGTCAAGATATGCAACTATTCTATTCCTGGTACGTACGTTAATGACTTTCTCGAGTTAGTTGTGTATGAATTTATCTGCCTTCACTTTATACTAATATACACTTGCATACAGGTACATGAAGTATTCGGTGACTGTCTGAGGCGGCACTGAATATATATTCGTTGTTGAGTATCATATCGAGGATTGTATTAATATTTCGTATCATTTTGAATAATTTAAATGCTTTTGTCAAGATATGCAATAATTCTATTCCTGGTACGTACGTTAATGACTTTTGAGTTGTGTATGAATTTATCTGTCTTCACTTTATAAACTTACATACATGTACACGAAGTATTCGGTGACTGTCTTAGGCGGCACTGAATATATTCGTTGTTGGGTATCATATCGAGGATTGTATAAATAGTTTATATCTCTTTGAATTATTTACATGTTTTTGTCAAGATATGCAATAATTCTATTCCTGGTTAGTACGTTAATGACTTTCGATTATGTATTTATTTTATTTTAGTTAATATTTTTATTATCCATCCTTAGAATTCCATTGATCTATGTTGTGAATAGTTTAAGTAATAGTTACATTAAGTAATTGAAGCACATTTTTGGGTGGGGCGAGGGACCCTTCTCTGTACGTTCATTGTCCCTCTTGTGGGATGTTTTTGGGCCCCACCTTCTGCTGCATTCTGATATTGTAAAATCTGTAATCTCATTTGGCATTTGTAATAAATGCTCTATACACACACACACCCTCTTTATTATTTAACATGCTGCAGAACAGAGCTGCAAATGTGCTTCAGGTTCACATGAACCGAATTGTTCATCAGTTTCAGTATTTAAGAGCACATAAGTGTATTTATGTATATAAAGGAATTTATGTGATCTAAATACGTAATAAATTGCATATTTTTATTAATTACCAATTTGTTTGAATTCATGGGTCCCGAAGGGTTTTCCGGGTTTTATACTTAAGCGTCCTCTAGTAACGGCTATTAGCCTTATCCTTATCAGAATAACATTTCGGCTCCAAAATGTGGTTTACAAATTTTACCCACCACCACCCCTTCAATCCTCCATAATTATTGTTATTGTAGAAAATACATGTACTAGTTTCTTTTATATAAGGTGCCTATTGTTATTGCATGACTTTTGTTATTGTAGAAAATAGATGTACTAGTTTCTTTTGTTTAAGGTACTTATTGTTAATTTTGTAGAAAATATATGTACTAGTTTTCTTTTGTATAAGGTGTGGGATGTTTTTGGGCCCCACCTTCTGCTGCATTCTGATATTGTAAAATCTGTAATCTCATTTGGCATTTGTAATAAATGCTCTATACACACACACACCCTCTTTATTATTTAACATGCTGCAGAACAGAGCTGCAAATGTGCTTCAGGTTCACATGAACCGAATTGTTCATCAGTTTCAGTATTTAAGAGCACATAATAGTGTTTTATTTTAAAAGTAATAAATATATGTGGTGTCTCATCAAGTTATATAACTTATATACTTTCTGCAAATAAGACAATTCCACTCCATCACTTTTAAAAGTTATGAAATATTATTTGGTAAAAATTATTTTCTCTCCGTGGCGGATAAAAAACCGCCTCTTCTTGAAATATTCGTGATCACGTTGTCTCGCATGTTTACAGCAAACAATGGTCCAATCTCGTGAATGAACCGAAAAGCATGATGGTCTACTACGTTTTTACTACAAACACGTGAGTTAGGGATTGTCAATATTGAGAGCACCTCAGAGTTGGTTGCTTTTTGTACCGAGGAATAATCACGTGCAATTGTCTTTTCAATGGACATTTTCGGTTGGGTAAACTTCTACAGCTGTCAGCGACTATGGATAAAGAAGTGTGGAAACCATGTTGTGCCAAAATGAAATAACCAATACAAACAAATGATATAATTTGATCAATCAAAATGGTTATTAGATACATTCGATTCTGCATTTCTTAATGGTTCAAAACAACAAAAAATATTTACATAAATATTGCCAAAACCAGAATACTACTAGATAATATAATTATATTATTTACATGTGAACCACAGTATTTCTGACCCCTTGAAAAAAATATAAAGAATCTTGCAAGTAGGTTATCAGCATTGGCTCGGGCTAATTCGAAAGTGAAATTTGGAGTTTGGCAGTAAATTGTAGTGAATGAATAAAATTTAGTAGTGAAAGATATTGGAACCTATTTTACTTGTCAGATTTCTTCGAACTAGTTGATTTTTATTTTAACTGTTCTATTCCCCCACCCAATTTAAAAAAAACCGAAGCTACCTACCTGAATTAATTTTTCTTAATGGTGTTCATCGAAATGCTTGGTTGTGCTCTCAAACTGGAATAGTTTTTAGAGGCCTGGAATTCCTTGACCAATTTTATTTTATTAGCCCAACTATATTTCTAAGAAGGCAAGATGTATGGTATGTAAGTTTCATCTACATATGTTATGTAGTTCATATTAAAAAACGAAAGGGATAATTGACGATATCCCATTCAGGGTGTAAGCATAGCAGTTTAAATTACTTTCCATACATTGTATTTGACATAAAATATCTTTTGCGCACAATATGCGCTCCATACTGAAGATCGGTAAATGTTCACCCAACCGAAAATGTCCACTAGCAGTACAGCACGGGGAAACTCTAAACAAACGAACCTGTACAATGGAGTGGGGAAAACTTTAATTTTCATCATTGTTAATCATTTGTATGCAAATATGAGCATGGGATTAGTAGATAATAATGTACATAATGCATCAAGTCTTTCTGAGAGCGATTTAAAAAACTAGCCTTTTTGAAAAACACATGTAGTATTTGATGTAGTAACACATAAATGCATTAAATGCAACTCATTGAGCTGATTAGTCTATTTGTGTCCCTCACTGAACAGACGTCACAAAAATATCTTCCTCGACCTGATGATTCTCGCGATGCTTTTCCCGCGCACATGCGCAGATCCAGGATAAACGTCAGTCCTTTATAAAATATGCATGAGAGTATCATGTTCTTTTCCTGACTAGTACTTTGTTAATACCGAATAAAATTTCGTCGAATTTGCAAGAATGCTTCATTTTTGGTAGCTTATCATACTCCAGAAATTTTTGTTCGGTTTCAGCTGTGCAAAAATACTGTTTAACACGGCATACATATCTTTAAGGTGGCTCATTACATCCACAGTTTATTGTAGATTTCAATACAGCACCACTTATAATGTAGATGTCAAATATCCAGATGGGGGTATTGATATCATAAATATTTTTTATAGAATTTTTTAGTTTTTGTTTTATTTTAGTGAAATGTTTTATTTCAGAATTATTATTCACAGAATTTCAGAACTTTCAGTGTCAAATGATGGGCATCTTCTTAAGACAAGTACACACAGTGAAAATACCTCATAATACCTAATAATAATTTTATTAGAAAAAATAATTTTCTCCTAGAAAACAATTAATGTCATTATGTTCCCCAAACGGAGTTTGGGAACATATTGTTTTTACTCGGTTTCTTATTATTATGTTCCCCAAACGAAGTTGGGGAACATATTGTTTTTACTCTGTTTCTTATTAAGGTCTTCCGTCTTCACGGAAGACCTTATAGTGATTCTATTGTTTCTTATTATTATTATTATTCTTTTTTTTTTAGACAAAATTTTGTGCAGGCGATTTCTCGTAAACTATTCGGTAGAATTCAATGAAAATTTCAGGAATTATAGGTCACTATATGAATTTTATATAAAATTCCGTTTGTTGGAAAATTCGCTACCAGTGCCAAGTTATGGGCAATTTCCTGATTTTAAAATGCAATTTTGTCTTCGAATGTTCTCGAAAACGGCTCAAGATATTAACTGGAGACTTGTTAGAGATGATAGACCATGAGTTGTAGATGTGCAATTTTGCCTTCGTTTGCGTCGTCAGTACTTCCGGTCGCTACAGGAAGTGAATTCAAAATGTGCACTTTTTCAACTTTTTTTGTTTTTCAATATTTTTCTTTGATATAATTAATGTTAGTGCAGACCCTACTGGAAAGGCCTAATATATAGTTTATTTTAGAATTGATCAATCAACACACAAGATATTCGCATTTAAAAATCTGAAGCGTGTCCAAGATGGCGGGGCGTCTCCGTGAATTCCGCCATTATGCAAGTCGGGTTCTAGAAGGTCAGCTGAGCGTTTAGATGAACGAAACTTCTACCAAAAAGATTTATGACATGTAAAGGATTCTTTAGATTGCTACATCGCAATTACATTGCATTGAGTATTGTTTTAATATGAGGTTTCCTCAAACGTCTATTGAAATTGCTTTTGTCTGCATCTCAAAGTAGAATACAACATGACTACAAGTGGAAATACGATGACAACAATCTTTTGTTTTGCACCAGGGAAAACTTATCCTAAACCATGGTTATAAGTAATAGCTTTTCAAGAAACTTGTCTGACTTAATATTCACTATGATTCGGAAGTATTACTTGACTTCTGTTTAATTTTCCACGCAGGCTTGTGACATATTAAATGAATAGAAAAGACAAAAATAAGAAAAACATTTTTTTGGAAAAAAGATTGTTTATTAAAGGTTATATAAATATTCTTGTAATAAATGCAAGTTATTGAACATAAATAGTATCACATTCCTTGACCGTCGGAGGGCGAGTGATTTTTTTTCAGTGAAACATTCCAGTCTTTTCATGAACGTGTAACTCATCTCCACTTTGGGGGAAAACAGGATATAAAATTCGAGGAAAATCTTACGGAATTCACGGCTTTAGTGTTACTTGGCCGTATACGTATTATATTTGTACAATGTAATAAATATACTTTCTAACGCTCGAAATTCCGGTTATAAGAACATACATTTCTAATTATCATTGAAGTTATCACATCCATTCAATAGATCAAACATTTCAAAGGAATAGCGTTAAGAACTCCTTGTGACGTTTGGCACGAAATAATGTATCGTGACCCGATTTAAGTAGTAGACAAATGGTGACAATAGTGCAGAAATATATAACATTGGCATGCCTGTCTATGGAGTTGCATGGAATAAAAAGTTGAATACATATCGAAAAAAGGAAAGACAACAGTATCATCTGTTCATCACTAATAGATTATCTACCTAAAAATTACTGTTAAAACTCAGGTAACAAATTCCAATGTGATCATCTTGAGCAAAGTTTAGCAAGCTGGCTGTCATTTTACAATTCCAAACTGAATTTTAAAAAAAATGTAAAGTATGTTGGAATCAAAATAAGCAACCTCGCGATATTGGAATGTTAAATTTGAATCGGGTTCCCAAAGGTGTAATGGGTACAGCAATGGATTTTCATGTTGGCGACTCGGGTTCGATCCCCCGTATGTCCGATTTTTAAAATAACTTTTTCAGTTTGATTTTACGTTATTTTTTTCTGAATCGGACGGAAGACCTCTCGTTGCTCGCAACGAGTTTTGTTTCTAGTTATTAAGTCTTCCGTTCACAACGGAAGACTTATAGTGTTTGTATTGTTTCTTTTTATTATTATTATTATTATTATTATTATTCCTCCCAAATTTTGTGAGCGCGATTACTCAGAGATGGCTGGATAGATTTTCACAATTTTTCTCTTGTAAGTAGGTTGATATATGAAGTTTATATAAAATTCCGTTTTTTGAAAAATTCACTTCCGGTCCGAAGTTATGGCCGATTTTCGAATTTTAAAATGGACTTTTGTCCGGCAGTTTTCTCTGAAACGGTTTGAGGTAAAGATATGAAATTTACAGGAGTATTAGATCATGATATTCTATTTGTTTTGAAGTTATTTTCGTGTGTTTCCAGTACTTCCTGTCCGAACCGGAAGTGAATTTGTTTTTGGTCAATTTTTGATTTTTTTGTTTTTAGATATTTTTTCAAGATATTCTTATGTAAAACAGACATTTTTCTACAAATACTAAATATATAATTTGTTTTTAAATCAGATTCTGCATTTTGTATATTTTCGGTACCAAAATTTTCTCTATTTACATAGTATATATAAGGTGGGCAAAGAAAGATAACTCTGACCTGTGAATGAGAATAGAACTTTCGAGATAAAGGCGGAAATAGTATTGATGACGTTAGAGACATATATACGCTCCCCAGATCAACATATTTACACATTCAATATTCTCTCTTTTGCATGCTACTTAATTCACTATATGCATATTAGTTTAAATTTGGCTGGTTAGTGTTAGTCTGTATATTGAAAGTTTTTGATTTACAAATTTATATCTAAAAAAAAGTATCCGTTCTGTGTCAACTAAGCACTTTGAAGAAAATAATATTGTACGCAGTGTACAATACAGCGATGCATATACAAAT